CCCCACTTTTGCCCCCACCCCCCCACAACCCCACAATTTCCCCTGCAGTCAAGGCAGACAAGAAGGCTGCCCAGGAGAAGATGCTGCAACAGGAGCACGAGCGCCAGGTGGGGGCTCACACCCCACTGGGGGGGACATATGGGGTCTTGGGGCAGCCCTATAGGGCTCACACCCCATTGGGTCAAAATCTGGGGGTCTTGGGGTGACCCTATAAAGTCCTTGTCCCATAGAGAGGGGCCCACAACCCCATGGGGTCACATTATGGGGGTCTTTGGGTGACCCTATGGGGCTCACACCCCATAGAGGGGCCAGTACCCCATAGAGGGGGGACATTTAGGGGTCTTGGGGTAACCCTATAGGGCCCACACCCCATGGGAGTCACATTAGGGGGGTTATCGGGTGACCCTATAGGACTCACACCCATAGGATCCCATTTTGGGGGTCCTGGGATCACCCTCTAAGGCCCACACCCCCATAGAGGGGCCCATCTTGAGGATCTCAGGGTGACTCTATAGGGCCCACACCCCATAGGATCCCATTTTGGGGTCTTTGGGTGGCCCTATAGGGTTCACATCCCCTAGAGGGGCCAATACCCTATAGAGGAGGGACATTTGGGGGTCTTGGGGTAACCCTATAGGGCCCACACCCCATAGAGGGGCCAATCTTGGGGATCTCAGGGTGACTCTATAGGGCCCACACCCCATAGGGTCACATTTTGGGGTCTTTGGGCGACCCTATAGGGCCCACGCCCCATGGGAGTCACGTTATGGGGGTCTTTGGGGCACATTTTTGGGGTATCAGGGTGGCCCTATAAGGCCCTTGCCCCACAGAGACTGTCCCACACCCCATGGGGGTCACATTATGGAGGTCTTTGGGTGACCCTACAGAGCTCACATCCCATAGAGGGGGTCCCAACACCCCTTTTTCCCCCCCATAGGAGCGTGAGGACGAGCTGCGAGCGATGGCCAGGAAGATCCGGATGAAGTGAGCCCCCCCTCCCCCCCCGTACATCACCCCCTCAGCTTTTGGGGTTTTCTTTTTTTGGGATACCTCCTCTCACCCCACACATCTTTTGGGGTTTTCTTTTTGCTGGCAGAGAGAGGGAACGGCGTGAGAAGGAAAGGGAGGAATGGGAACGGCAGTACAGCAGGCAGAGTCGATCCCCATCACCCCGTTACAGTGAGTGTGGGGTCGGGGGGGGCTCAGACCCCCATTTGGGGATGAAATCTGGGGGGGTTTTATATGGGGTGGGGGGTAGCAGGGGCAGAAAAGATGGCTGGAAATGGGGCTGGGGGCACTGAGCCCAAATTCTACCCCCTATAGGTCGGGAGTACAGCTCGTCCAGGAGGTGAGTTGCCCCCAGA